ATAAATTGGATGCTCAGAATGACTTTGGATAATATAAGGGCAGGATTATGTGATCATGTCATTCTATGCATGCTTGACGAAAAGCGTACATAACCCATGCATTTGAATGAGAAACATAATGCTATGATTGAATCAACCGCGATTTTGAATGAAAGCAAAAATAAAGTATTTGAACTTTGAATAGCAAGACTGGGACAAATCAATTTCGATTGAATGGATTGGAATTTTTTGCGAAATTGGCCAGGAAAACCTTACTCTTCTCTTCTTTTCTTCTTTTCTCCTGTTTTATTCTTCTTCTCCTCCTTAATTTTTTATTTTATATTTTCTTCATCCTTATTCTTCTTTCTTCTTATAGGCCTGGTGTAGATTAACTGAGGACGTTCAACTGAGGAGAGCAAGGAATTGGTCCGATAGACCAGTTCGTAGTTAGCACATGATACAATGTATATGGAATGACTCCTGGTGGCCATTTCACTACGATTGAGACAAAAATCTAAAATACTTACCATTTTATATATCAATCTCCAAGAGCTTCCAAAAATGATCAGACAGCACGGTGATAACCTAACGTCTTTCTTGTAAAAAAGAGTAACCAAGTCGGAACGAAGAATATAGTTCCTTAATATCACAGAAAAGACGGAAATATTAATCGTAAGATTTAACTGTAGCTATAGCGATCGATCAACGGAGATCAATTGAAATCGCAGGAGACGTTATGACTTGATATCTACTGTCGACAAATAGTAAATGGTAAATGATTCGTTTTCCTTCTCTGCAGGCGGTAAGCTCCTATAAGAACGGGATTGATATGATTATAAAGAAATACTTCTAACTGGTAGATCAAAATTATGATGGGTGTGGTGGATTGAAATTATGGGATAGCTCTCCAAGGGATGTAGCTAATAGGCCTATGATAACCTTTCATGTCTGTACCTTTCCTATCGCACTTTGCATAAATGTATCGTGTATGTATTTCATCTTTTGCACAAGCTGCGCCTTGAGCATTTGACTATCAAGTGGATTTGGCGCCTTATAAATCATATGTATTATTATTATTATTATGATGATGATTGTTTGTTTTTAGGTTTTGTTTGAAAAGGCACCCGTTACATGAACAACTTGTTGTGTGGTGAACAAAAATTATGGGATAGCTATTACCCCCCCCCCCCCCCCCCCCACAACCACCACTCCGGGAACGGAGGGACCGCATTCATGTTCCCAAAATCTCCGGTAAAGGGGTACTTTTCACTCAACAAAGTCCGGCTCGTAGTACACAAAAAAAAATCGGCCCGTATTGACTTTATACATCGGAGTTAGGGGGTGCTTTCAAAGGGAGGAAACATGCATACGCGTACCCTAAATAACACTGAGTGGGGGCGGGGGGGGGGGTGGGAGCTATTAACGCCGATCGATGATTGTTGTTTCTTTGTTCGTTTGGTTTTGATTTTGTTTGAGAAAACGCACGTTATCTCAGAAACGTTATACCTTTGCATGGATCGAAATAAGGGATAGCTCCTTGAGATAGCTATTAGCCCCGAACATTGGCGCCAGTATCGAGGGGGGGGGGGGGGGGTTGGGTGTTCAACCACCTCCCCCTTGGAAAACAGGGGTTTTTTTTTAGGTGTTTAACACCCCCTTTCTTTTTGCTCCAGGGGGGGGGGTGGATGTTGAGGAAAAACAAGGAGTTTCCCTCCCCCCCCCAAGTTGAGCCAAAACAAAATTAGTGCTTAATTCCCCCCCCCCCCCCCCCCCTCGCTTATACGCTGACTGGCTGATTCGCCGCGAAATATTTTCTCACGAATTGGGGGAGGAAAAAAGTAGTGTTGTTCCTGAACATTTTTGATCAAATTTAGGGGATAGCTCTGTTTAAGTATTAGCGCCGATGGACTTGTGTTGAGGAGGGGAAAATAAATAATTTTGTTTGTGAAAATGCATGCTACGCTTGGTTTGGTTTGGTTTTATTTTCCGTATAAAAATTGAATACATACAAGAGGTCGTGAATTTGATATATTGAAGTATGATTATGAGGATTTATCTTAAGGATTAACCTACCAGCCCTGTTTTGAAGTTGGTCCAGATAATTTGTTGGATAGGATTGCCATATAATGTCAGCATAATCAAAATGAGGAGTGACTATTTATTGATAAATTAGATTGAGAAAAGATTCATTTAAAATGTGTCTCAGCCTTCCTAAAAAGCTTACCATCTTTCCTACTTTCTTAATTACTTCACATAAATGTAAGTCCCATTTTAATTCAAAGTCTATATTCATTCCTAAGTATTTAATGTTCTTAACCTGTTTAATAACATTACCACCTAGTTTTAAGTTTAATGTTTGATGTTTATGAAGCATTGACTTCGTTCCCATTAACATAGATACTGTTTTTTTCACAATTTATATAAAGTTTGTTATGGCACATCCAATCAGATAGAGAAATTAATTCATTATTAAAAACAGACTGTAGAACAATAGGGTTTACATTTGAGAAATAAATAACTGTGTCATCTGCATATAAATGCAGATGACAATAATGAGAAGCATTAGCTAAATCATTGATGTATATTAGAAATAAAATTGGGCCAAGTATGGAGCCTTGAGGGACACCATACGTTAAAATCAATTCATTTGAAGAAACATTATTTATCGAAGTAAACATTTTACGGTTAACCAAATATTCATAAAACCACTTATGAATTATTCCATTTATACCAACATTAGGCAATTTTCTCAAGAGAATTCTGTGATTGACCAAATCGAAGGCTTTTCGCAGATCAACAAAAAGTGCTCCTGTATATAAACCCTTATTAACTGATTGAAGCCATTCGTCCGTAACCTTTGTAAGAGCGGTACAGGTAGAATGTTTCGGCCTGAATCCCGATTGATCTTTAGTTAAAATGTTGTTTTTTTGCAGAAATTGGATTAAGTGTTTTTGTACAATCTTTTCTAATATTTGGACAAACACGTTAATAAAGATGTCGGTCTGTATTTATTAGCTAAAGCTTTATCACCCTTTTTATGTAGGGGGATGACCTTAGCCACCTTCCATCTGGAAGGGACTGTACCTGCAGACAATGACCTATTAATTAAATATGTAAGAGGTTTCACAATTTCCAGTGCACAGGCTTTCAGCATGTAAGAATCTATTCCATCAACCCCAACTGATTTCTTATTCTTTAATCGATAGATTTCTTGCAGAACATCTGACTGTGTAATCACATGAACAGAAAATGTATTTTCTGTGTGCTCTCAATGGCTTCGGTACTCTCAAACTCTTCGTAACTGATACATTTATTACCATTACTGCTATCAAATTGTTTTCTAACATTGACAAAATGTTCGTTAAAATCATTTGCTACTCTTTTACATTCATCGATAGGGAAGGGGAAATTCGTAGCTGATTTCGTATTGGGAATTAGTGTTTTCAATATACTCTCCAAGATTTCGCTCTATCCGTACAAGCACATAGTTTTTTAATGACATATTGTTTCTTTACTCTCCTTATTTCAAACGTTACCTTATTTCTGAAGTGTTTGTATTGTTTCCAGTAAACGTCTTGTTTTTTCGTCTTTGCTTTACCTTTCATTTTATCACGATCTTTCATGAGCTTAAATATACATTCATTCAACCAAAAGGAGTGTTTTTTGCGTGCCCTTTTCTTCTTCAATGGCATGTAATTGTCTATTGTGTCTAAAAAAAAAAGGACTTCCCATTTGTTTACAGCTTTATCGAGGTCAATACCTTCTTCTACCTCATCCCATTTCTGCGATCTAAGATCGGCATATAACTCTTTAAAGTCTACCTGATGAGATTGTCTAAATATTACATAATTTACAAAAGAATCATCTTGGTTGACGTGAGCTTTCCAGACTAAGTTACTCATAATGATCACTCAAACCATTGTGTAAGACAGCAAAAGGGCTAACTTTGTCTGGGCAAGTGCTTAACATGATTGTGATCAATTAATGATGAGCACTCAGGCGTTACTCAAGTGTAAACAGATTTATTAATTTGACACAAACCATGTATATCATTAATTTGTGAATGTATATCATTAATTTGTGAATACTTACGAGTATCGCAAGTAAGTGGAAGCTTGGCAACGCTAAGTGTTAAAAGTTAAAGAAACTTCTGTACGTCGAAACCATTGTAGAGCACACCATTTTACTATGGGTCCAGTTTGAGAGCAGCTTTATTGTGTCCAACTTATTTAATAATTGACAAATGTATTTTAATATACTTTCTCTTGCTTCTATTTTGCACTTGGCCCCTCCCACTCCCTCTCTCTCTCTCTCTCTCTTTATCTCTCTCTCTCCCTCTCTCTCTCCCTCCCACTCTCTCTCTCTTTCTCTCTCCCTCTCTCTCTCTCTCTTAAATCTCTAGCAGTCATTTCAAACGCGTATGTTTACCTTTTCTCGTTCCGACCAATAGGCAAACGGTACACGATCGCAAAGACTTTCGGTGAATCAACTCAAGGCCAGTTTCAATATGCTACTGTGTAATGCTTGCAATAGGTAATTGATAAGGCTATCGAAATTGTTTCAGCTTTATTTTCTGAAAGCCTTTGCTGTAGTGTAATGGGTATAATTTCGCAAAAGGGGCCGATTCATCTTCCCTGAATTTCAACTTTACAGTTTCTATATTTTATGAGCCAGCGTAACGAGCAAAAACAAACACAAACCTCGCTGCTTGAATACAAGGCGAAGGTTGCCTTAAAAGGGCTTAATATGGGCGCTTGAATCAATTCTAGGGGTGGGAGGCTATGTAGCCTATGACTGTCACGCTTATGATTCCAAAACATTGTTCCCCCCCCCCTCCTCCTCTCATTACCTGCAATTCTTTTTTATTATATCTATATCACATAGTATTTAATCACGTAATCTGCTCTCTTATCATCACCTGTAGAAACTCGCCGCTTGTCACAAATGCTACAAACTATTTCATTTGCATTTACTATTCTCTAAATCGCACAGGTAAAGAATTATTCACACCCACGAGTAAATATATTTTTCAATGTTATATTTTATTTTGCATGTACATCATATTATACAGTATATATATATACACCCTTGTGAATAGTACCCGAATTGAAAAGATGACTATGAATAAACGCTGCATTGGTACATATAGATGAATTGAACATTACATAATGCACTCGTGTCAAATAGCTGGAATACCACACGTTTCCTAAACCCAAAGCAAAACAAACAGGATCTCGAAAAATTATTCCTCGTCATTGATAATTAGAAGAAAAAAAATGTACTGAAATTTATCAAGACATGTGGAAGACCACGTTTCATACAACAGCAAAAAAAAAAAAAAAATAATACTCATGATACCTTTCAGCTATAGCATAAGGTTGATGGTTAAAAATAATCTTCATAAAATTAAATAAATACTGAAAGGATGAAAATAATTAAGAAGAAAATGAGAACGCTAAGAGGGGGGGGGGGGGGGGCAGATAAATGGGAGGGTAAAATGGAAACTGTCATGCATTTCTAAAGAAATAGCAATAATTTTTCGAGGGAAAAGAAAAATCACTCTATGATATGATCACTGAATAAAGCATCATATTGACAAGGGAGATTGATCATAACTTTAAGATCTCAAACTGCGAGTGATATTTAAAACTCGTTTACAAAATTGGTTTAGAAAGACAATACCACTCATTAAAATGAATTTTCTAAGTGGTTTTTTGTACCAAATGTGAGCACATTTGAGAAAAAAAGATGTAAGGCCACACAACATTTAAAGCCCTTTCTTCAGGTTGTTTTTACTTTTTTCATATTTTCTTTCACAAAGTCTTTTTGTTCAACACATAACAGGCTAGGCCCAAGAATACTTTAATTAAATAAAAGAATATGTATGTTATACATGAGAATAAAACAGGTAGATGTAAACACAGATAGTGGTATATGCATTTGATATGACTAGGGATATAACTTATAACATATCACACTACATAACTAATATATAACAACATAAATACAGACTTCAAAACTAAAAAACACTATTTTCAAAAGAATAATCCTTGGGATAACATAATCATAATTATAACATCACATGTCAGTAACCAATAATTAGCTATAAAGACTTAAAATTATGATTTTCTTCCATCTCACAAATGGGCTAGAATTATATATGGAAACAAGATGAAGGCTGAGATAAGTAGCGAATAAATTATAAAAAGGCACTTCAGAAGTAAGAATGAAAAAGAAGCCCTGAAATTATTACAGATAAATAAACATAGTGATTTCAACTGAAGTCAGCCATTTGAAGTATATTTCTATGAATATTGACTTAAAAAATGGAATAAAAATAAAACCAAATGAACATAAGAAGAAAAATACAATTATAGCAATGAACTATTTTACATTTTTGAAGCCATAATATGTTGCAGTTAATAAATCTCAATTTCAACATTCATGAATTTTCTTAACTACATGTATGTCCCAACTTAAATGATTCATTTCAATTTTTTTTCTTCTAAATTTTGCAATCCATATCGAAAGGTTTCATTAAGACAAGAATAAAAGGATTGTAATTCACACAAACCATGTAAATTAGTTTACTGTACAGCAACGCTGAATTCTTACATAATATGCAAGTGTTAGAAGTCTTAAAACCAAGTCATATGCAAGGTGGATTTAATTGAACATGATTCCTGGAATTTCATTAATATGTTTTCTTTAGAAAAAATATAGCATACAGAGCTCACATTTTTTCACAGCTCAATAAATATATATTTGTTTAAATTAACTTTCTAGTTCCTTTTTACTTTTGTGTCATACACACATTGTTTGCACTGCTTAGTTTAAAGACCCACTGCACTACTTGTAGCTACTTGCGCCCTCTATATAACAAACAATGCCTAATCGGTGACCATTGGTCCCCATGATCCTCTTTTTCTTATGTTAACTGAGAGCTGAGTTGATGAGATAACCACCTGTCCAGTGACCTTGCAGGGCGGTTTAATCCCTTCTGTAAACTACGGCAGATAAGCTTTAACTATCCACATTCATATACTTTGAGAGGAAGAACCAAAATTGATTTGGGCCAGCTTACATGCAAGAAAATACTGTCATTTACACAAGTTCAAATGAAATAGGTCCTGCAGTGAAAAAGGTCCCAGGAATAAAGGAATAAAAGCCCTTTCAAATAGCATCACAGTTATATCATACATGCCATGTATATACTAATGGAGGAGAAGAAGAAGAAAGAAAAAAATCCACCAATTGATATCACATAATACATTAACAGCTCTCTTAAATAATTTTAGACAACTTCTACTACATGTATTTCCAAATGCAAGTACAACTTATTAACTATGCTACACCAAGACTGTTCCAAAAGCTACACTGTAAACTAAACTTTTCAACACGAAAACCACTTTTGTTGCCATTCCAATTCCGTTTCGTTTCCAATGACACGTCTCAAAATAAAGCAAATTCTCAACAAAATATGTTATCCGCCCATGCCAGCTACTCTTTTACATTTCTTTATCACTTTTGACTTTTCCCCTTCTTATTCTTAGGCTACAAAACAAAAGGAATTCAAACAAATAAATATATGGCCTAGTAAAATAATACTTACAGAAGGAACACTGAATATATAGCGGAAAAGGACATATTTGATAATGGTACTACAAAGCACATTTTATATTTCTATATCATGCCATACAATGTGTTATACATTATTTTAATATATATAACTCCAAGAAAGAAAGAGAGAGAGAAATAGAGAGAGAGAGAAAGAGAAAGAGAGAATTAACTACCACCATCATAATGACAAGTCGGACTTGCTCAAAAATGTTAATTTTTCTTGGTAATGGGAAACATCTAAGCAGTACAGGTGCAATTGCACACTGATCTTAGGATAAATAAATATGGTATCAACATCTTTATAACTGTTATGATACATGTACATGGAGAATTCAACTTAGAGTGACATACCGGTCATGTTCTGGTTTAATGAGCGACCCTTACAGTAGCACACAATGCTCAATTACAACTATATTAGGGACTGAAATGTCAAATAAGATAAAGGTTATACATATGGATATGTTGCTTCAACTCATGTGTAGGAAACAGCTTAATTTCAGACATTAAAATAAACCCAAAGCAAACAAATAACAAAACAAAAAAATAAAAAAAACAAACAAAACAAATACCCGCAAAAATAATACTACAGTACTTGCCTACATATTTTGGCCAGGGAATTACAGGTATTTTTAAAGGTCTAGATCAATTTTCTTTTCTTTCAAAGACCAAAATGGTATAATTAGGTAAAAATATAGATAAATATAGATAAATCTGAAGAGCGGTGTCAGACTTGATAACCACCTGGTTATTGTCTTGCGTAATTTGGCTAAAGAAAATTTTAGTGACCTATTAGGTCATAGGTGAGTCTCCTCATATACATGATACAAATATTTACATATTTACATATAATTATATGTACATAAATACATATTACAGCATGAAGCAACACATAATAGGAGAAATGAATATTGGAATAGAACAAAGACAATTGCAAGACCAAGATAAGTAACTTTGATTCGACGATGATAACCTCACATCTATGACAAGTTTAGTTAGACTGTTGAGAGCCAGAAGGGCGATAATGCTGTTTTAAGTATATGAGTTAATGCCCTTCTGGCTCCAAACAGACGATTTATCTAATTGACTTGTACTCATAATCTAAGAGCGCCTTGCTAATTGATTCATTAGGCGGCACCAGTGGAGTTAACTTGTTTGGCAAAATTAGCACAAGACTCATCTGCCACAAGGTCCATTGCACAAATCAGAAAGTTTCATGATGCTAATTAAAAATATTCTCTCACAAAGGCTCTTGCACTTGTCCTTATTTTGTTCCTTCTCCATGAAGATAGACATTGCAAAGTTCAATGGAGTGGACATACATGGACATTATCTTTGGACATGAAAACAAAATTATTGACCTCTACGATACAATATCACTGTTGAAGCAGATATTCGATAGTGCCTCTCTTAATCTTCTCAGTTGGTTAATTGATAAGATTGCTTAAGCTATTCAGTGGTAAACGATGACTAAACTGGAGTTCCAGACATGTGCATCTGGCTTGGGAAAAGGATTAATAATCTAGATTTCAGCTATCATACTGAAATCCAGGTATTCCACGAATACACATACTCATGCCCCTCTGTTTGAGGCATGTCTTTGTACCTTACATCAGTTTCATTTTAAATCAATAAAACAAATGTTTACACCATTCCACAGTATCGCCTTGCTGTAATAACAGTATTATATAGTAAAGCAGATTGACAATGACTGTAAGGTGACATTAGAGCACTTTGCAGTTTGCACAAAACTATTCAATGTAGCACACATGATAGTAGATCTATTTATGACATTGCTTGACAATACCTTTTATCAAGGTATGTCCCTTCAGGGGTAGCCTTTCATCGTTGCCAAACATGCAAGAACTTGATACTGACAGAAGAAACATATCAAAGACACATTCTTAAGAAGCACTTCAGATAAAGCAATTGCTTCATAGGGTTCCTATCTGGTCATACTGACAAAATAAAGATACAATTATATTGCAAGAGTAGAATACATACACTTATGTACAGATAAACATTAATGGCTTGGAAGAGTATGTTGCATACAAATAATGGCTTGTGGTTTTTGACAATGATTAATGGCTGACACCTTTGAGGCTAACCGTCAATGGCCAATTAATCTGGATCATGCAGTAGTAATGTAGAAGGAAGTTTTAGACATCAGTAACAACGTTGAGTCCACACTGACTTGCACCCTTAACCATCTAAGGAGACTTGCACCTATAACCGTCTGAGGAATACAGAGCTCTTGAATATCATTTTGTGGCACACTGTCACAAACACAGAGATTTAAGACTGAATGGCATACAAGTTGTACAGAATCAAATCTTCCCCACTCTCACATGAAAGGAAAGAAAAGGATAGATGTCGTTTAACTCTAATGATGTTCAGGCTTCACAGAAAACTTGTTACATTTTTTAATGTCCACATTTAATTACATTAAAATGGCTTTAAATTACCTAGTTTCTAGATTAATCAAGGTCATTAACTACCTGAACCAAAATGCCTACAAGGTAGACAGAAATCATTCTTTAACCAATGATGAAGTGATGAGTAGCTTGTTGTGCTTGGCATAAACAAGTACCTGTTAGGCAAGTACATCCTGTGTGTTACATCTTATAAGCCACAAGATCATACCGGTACCCTGTGTTCAGTTAGTGTGGTCCTTGCTATTGTCAGTTGTCTTCCTTGAAACCTCTCTAGAACTTTATCCAATCTACCAATCCTCACACCACATACCAAAGTTAAACCACCTTCCTTCAGATGTTATGGCTTTGTTAATCTATTCCTCTTTGAGTGCAGGTAGACCGCATAAGTTGCAAGATTAGTTTTAGTCTTTGGATCCATTAGTATAAGATCTCCACAACCTTCTTGAAATGTCCTTAGGTTGCAGCCTGTCCTTCCAACCATCAATGATCCTCAGAGAATACATCAATAGGAACGTCCCTGTAACCAATGTATCTATCGAGCACGATGGGGATGTTGGGCGCTTCTAATTCATTCCAGTTAGGATAGCAGCGTCGTAGGGTCATGCGACAGAGATGTTTGAGGGTCTGCAGTTCCTGGTGGACGGCTACAAACTGAACGGATCCAGACCTTGTACTGTATCGAGAAGAGAAGGAGACAAAAGAAAGCTTGATCAATTTTCCACTTTGGTATCTTTTATGACCAAGACAGGACCATAGTATAGGAATTCAATCCCTTGACTTTACAGCAAAGGGTACAGAGTTCAAATGCTTGCTGTGTCCTTACACATGACAATAATCTACTGTTTTTCCAACACCCCATGATACACGGTACAGAGCTTCCTTCATAAAACCTTCATTCTCAGAGTTAACTTTTTTGACAAGGCAGTTTTAACTTTTTTTACTGTCTTTACTGCTACCCCATTCAGTATATATTATATACACTACTAGTATGCCCCTCTACTTCTTTTCCCATCACAGTACAGATTCAAGATCACTTTGGGCTATAGTTTTAACCATGCCCCACAAAGCAGTCAATATTTTTTTACTAAAATATTGCTTGTACCTACATGTAGTATATGGTAGGGTAATCTTAGCATCCCATAAGGTAAGTGCTCATAGCAGCTGTTTAATACAAACATTGATGTTTTCGTACATGCGGAGAGTCACTGAATCCTATCATTCTTTCTTCTTCCTGTTTTCAAACTAGATACAAAACATGTGCCCAATTCTGACGTTACCATCAAACCTTAGTGACCACCTGTCTACAAAGACCACATTTTTGTTTCCCTTGAAATGGTTTCTCATTGAAACATGTACATGTACTATAGACACCTGTCTACAAAGACCACCTGCCTATAAAGACCACTTTTCTTGTCTCCCTTGGGTGGTCTTTATAGAGTACCGAAACTGTGACATCATAAAAATCTATTTTTGGAATTTCTTCATTGTTTTCTTCATTTTCTGAAAGAGCATAAAAAATAATGTCCAAATGTCAAAAACCAATAGGATATGTTAAGTACGGGCTGAGATATGACCATCTGAATAAATAGATTTCCTATAGGAGCTCAGTGTTACTTATATTCCTCTGGCTCGTAATGTTATGAACCAGAGCAATATGATACTGAGTTCCTACTGGTATAGGAAATCTATTTATTCAAATGACCATATCTCAGCCCATACTTAACATATTCAATTGGATTTCGACAATTGGACATTATTTTTTATGCTCTTTCGGAAAATGAAGAAAAAAATTGAGAAATTCCCAAAATAGATTTTTGATGACATCACACTTCACCACTCTATAGACAAGTTACATGAACCATAATGCTACCATCTCTGTCTCTTACTCACCCAGCTGCTAAGACGGTGCCGTCATGATTAAATGCACAGCTTAATGGCTCTTGAACTGAAGACACTAAGATCGGTTTCATGTTGTTCGATATAGACCACACTCGTAGCACACTGTAAAAATACAAACAAATGAAAACAAAAATGATTTAATGCTGTGAAGGGATTTCCTTGATGGGAAAACTACTAAATGATATTTCATGAGTAACAGCTCAAGGGTTTGTAGCTCCGGATTATCGAACATTTACTGTGGCTATAATTGCTCAGGGCAAATATTTTGTCAAATACATGTATGTAAAGTTTGAGGGTTTAATTTGCTGTTCAATTTTGTTGGGTAGGATTACAGTATGTTAGAGTTAGTGCTGGGCCACAGATTGAAGTAAGGAAATTAGACTTGTGTAGAATATTCACTAGTTGCAGGAGCATGTGTTGTACCAGTAAAGAAAGTTTTGTGCTTTTACAAGGTTTCCTTCATGTGTAATGAATGATCTTCTTAAAGATGACATCTTGAACAAAGAAATGAGTTACTTGGGAGAAGGGGCGTGAGTAGATGTTTATGGGCACAAAACAGGGGGGGGGGGGGGGGTTGTGTTAGAAATTCTAACGTCAATCAGCAAGTCTTGTAAAACATATTTTTTCTAATTATACAAATAAAATAAAAAGGAGAGTGGGGGGAGGAGGAAGAGGGGGGCGGGGAATAGAAATAAATTGTGAGCATAGTCCATGCCGCAAGTCTGTAGATTGTAACATGTAGATAACACGAGTAGGCAAAAGGAAAGGGACTTTGTTGCAAGCATATTTAACCCCCATATGACCTTTGTTAACACATAAAATGTTTTTATTGTGATGGTTTTATGAGGTCTGAAAGGGGCTGAGTCGGTGCGATTGAATGACTTACCTATCATCACAGACTGTAGCAAAGTGCAATCCCGTAGGAGAGAAAGAGATATCCCTCACGTAGTGACCGTTGGAGCCTCCAGCAAACATTGGACTCAGGACTGGAAACACATGACTGCAAAAATTAAAGATATACCAGTAACACGTTTGATCATTAATTCAATAATAGTAATAGTGATAAGAGACTTTGGTGGTAAGCGCTTTATAAGTAACGGTTTTAATATTATTATTATTATCAATAAACACATAGATAATGATGATAACAACAACAAACAAAAAACAAAAGGTAATACATCTCACGTAAGCAAATAGATTAATTAGTACACTTAAGGGCTTTTGTCGGCTTGTCGCACATAGCTTCTTTTGTTACCTTCATTTACTTAGAAGAACAAATTTTAGAAGGAAAACTTGTTTTCCTTTGCTGCTGCAGTTACATGTATTTTTAGATGGTTTATGGTTGAATATATACTTTTCTTGCACTGTTAATGTTGGAAATTGTCATTAGACTTTGATGGATCATGGAAGCCTTCCTGAAAATCCTCAAACTTTGTAATGGCCATTATAACACATGGAGGCTCAAAGTCTGAGAAAGTGAATACATGTACATGCAGCCATTTTATTGCATCAACCTTACTGCACAGTGTACCACCTTGCGGTATCATGTATCTGCTGTACGCAAAATTATTGTGGATTTTAAAATGGTTACCGGTATGCCCAAATTTAGTGCACTTAAATTTCATCACCAAAGATCCCCTACTTATACTGTTACATGTACATTAATAGTCCAAGGGCAGTTCAAAGAGTAAAAGGACAGGAGGTCCGAGCGGTTCACTGACTACGGTGTTAAGATACTGCACAACACTTGCATTCTTAAATTAACCATATCAGAACTGATTTTTGTTTTTGTTTTTTTGTAAGGGTTGCCTCCCTGCCTCCGTACTGAAAATCTTTTTTCAGCTCTTTCTGAGCTTTCTTGTGAAGAAAAAAACAGGATAGCACTTTGAGAGGAATAAGATTACAGGCCATTGCTCTTTGTAGTTTCCCTTGAGGTACAATGTAGATGACTCCCTAGGTACCTACAATCCCTTATCTATCTCTCCACCGGCTCGTACCGGCTTCCTTTGAGTTACCTGCTTCACACGTACATTTACAATCTCATAAAAGCCGACAAAGATTCATAAATGGTATCAGAGCAAATAGCACCTTGGCATTGTATACTTGGTAGACTTTTAAAATAGAGTATCAAAATAGTAAAGTTAAAATAGGGCAAACAGTACTACATGTACATTGTACATGTACATGTACTACAATTGCATGACAGCTGAAAAAACTATGAGGCCTTTCTCTGATTGGCTGATTCTAACTCCATAGATTTATTGATCTGAACATTCATCACATCATTAGCTTACTCAGATTTCAAAGTACCGGTACATGAACATGTACAGTATGTCTTTCTACAGCCTTCCAATGCAGGTCAAACCTGTTTTGTGGACTTTGGTTAAAATTTTCATTCAGGAGGTCAATAGTTATCTCCTAACAGCGAGTCAAAAATGAAAATCATCCAACATTGTTGCCAGACATTTGTCCCTCCCCCCCCCCCCCCCCCTATAAAACTGACAATGAACTTTGGCCATAGTATATTCTCATTGCAGTGACAATTTATGAATTCCATTAATGCAGCACTTGCCAAGACTTTTACTAGAATCGTTTCCTGACAAGATACAATGTTTTCCATCTAAACAAAACCAAGACGGCATTTGGAAAGCTAGAAGATGATTGTGAAGTGGAAAGCTAATATCAATGTTCTGGTAGACTGTTGATTGTGCAGGCTGCTTCTTGCTGCTGAACTGAGACTGTTTATTTAGAACAAGGAAACTGTGAGACTTCAACACATGTGTGAATTTGCTATCATTACACACACAGTGACATTAAAGGGTCTGTCGATGGCTGAAAGGTGTTAAATAGATCTTTGTTCATTTTTATGTGATACATGTAATACCATTCTGACTATATGCAGTAAATAATGGCTTATCATTATATCAAGCTCATTTATTTAAAATATGGTGTCAAATCTAAATAATAATATTCCGCTTTTATAAAGCGCTTTAATAGTACAAATGTAAGCGCTTTACAGATATAATATAACCCCGGTCATTGGTTTCAATACTTGCCCGCACACATCGTGTGCACAATCTCCACACCCTGGGGAGCATTCCAGCTGGGCGTTACTTGACGCTCAAAAACTGTTTGACCAACAATGATGGTCGCATCCTACCAGGTACCCTTTTAACACATGGAACATTCCCTTTTTATGCCTAGTTCCAACTGCCTAAACTTCAATAATCGATCCACAAAGAACCTTATTTTTCTTCACTAATCTTGGTTATAGATGTGCAAGCATTTAGAAAGCAGGCATCCTTCCCATGAGCATTTCAGTGCAATTTCAAAACCAGCAAAATGCCTTGGAAAAGCCAAGATCACATGCATTATTATCCAGTTTTTAACTTGTTCCCTACCGCTAATCAGAGGCAAAAATCTTGATTAAACAGAACCTGTTGATAACAAGTGATATGTCAATATCACTGACCTTAACAAAAAACCTGCAGTGATCTTGCACATGGAACAGCACAAAATTCCAAATATAACTGTTGGCTTTATATGTAGGTACATGTAGCTAGCTAACCCTGAATACTCTCTATCACATTTTTTTTTTTTACAGAAGTGAGATTCAGAGGGTTTGAACTTTGAAGCATATCAAGATCTTCAACACCTTACCCCTCCCAGGCATACACCTGTACTAATTGAATGAACAAAAGATCTTCATGTACTGTATTGTTATCTTCATTAACTGGAATGCACAAATAAATGTCTATGGGGAGGCCACCATGAGAGAGAAATGCTCATTTGAATATTTATTACATTGTGTATCACATCACAATTTCAAAGAAAAAAAATCGATGAGTGATTACATCTTGCACATTGTCAATCAGAACATTCTTTCCACCAAATATCAATTTTACGATCAGGATCTGGTTTTCGAACCATCCATGAACGGGAAAAATGAGAAATCTAGTCAGAATAGGAAATGTTTCACTTCCTGACTTGAGTAAATAAAGGAAGTGTTACTCGCAAGGCATTGCATGGTTTATCCAACAGATGGTCTGAACAGCACGTGGCTTACATGCGACCTCCCTGTATGAATCAGGGTTCTAAGAAATGTTACGAACAGGAACTACCAGGGGTGATAGTGAGCACTAAATTTTTTTTAAAGAGGATACGGGGGGGGGGGGGGGGGGGGGGGGGGGGGAATGGTTATCAGCAGATTTGTCACTGATTTTTGTCATTCGTCATTGAAAAAAGGCTTTGTGAAACAGGTCCCTGGATAGTAAACCCAATCCCTGCGAGATGCATATCAAACATAACTGAGAAGATTCCTGTATAAGGGTCCTACGTGTACTTAATGACCTAGTAGTCACAGATTACTATGGCCATGATGGCATATTCCTTCCTTATAATACCCCCATCATGAACTGTTAACAATGTTAAGGTCCCTTCGTGTGACCTATACATGACCCCTGCAATCCATTGAAATGTGTTTCATCTCACCAAACCTACTTGAACTGACTAATGAGATTTCCTGTATAAGGGTCCAATAGGATGTCCTTAGCGTCAAAGGAAACTATGACCAAGATGGTAAACCAAATCCCTACAGTTGTACGACATGCCTATCAAACCTACCTGACCTGAATAAGGGTTCTACGTAATGACCTAGTAGTCACAGGATACTATGGCCACAATGGCACATTCCTGTCTACTATGCCACTATCATGAACTGTTCAAGAGGCTCTTCTATGTTAAGGTCCCTTAGGGTGACATATACATGTACATGACTCCTGCAATCCATTGAAACTCGTTTCCTCCCATCAAACCTACCTGAACTGATTAATGAGATTTCTTGTATAAGGGTCAAATAGGATGTCCCTAGCTTCAAAGGAAACTATGGTCAAGATGGTAAACCTGATCCCTACAGTTGTATGACATGCCTATCAAACCTACTTAAAGATAAACTCCAGTTCTGGTAAAAAAAAGAAAATTAATTCTCACAGAATCAAACGAAACTTACACTGAATGTTCAAGATTACAAATAAATGACATGTGCCAAACAATTTTGGAAGAAAATGTATACTGGCTGAGTAATGAGCATACAAAGACAAGGAAATCAAGGTAGTACTAGCCCCGACGCTTTCTGTGTACAGTGCTTGTTACTTTACCAAGACTCGGTCAAATTTATTGAGATTTTGATGACTCCAGAACCTTGCAGTGCACACCAATACTTACATGTTACATGATCAACTGTTTCTGATCCTTTCTACACCTTTTCTTTCACAATGCAATTGCATTACCAGTACTAAAGTTTATCTTTTAACTGAATCAAAGGATATCCTGTATAAAGATTCTTCATAATGACCCAGTAGTCACAGGATACTATGGCCACAATGGCACATTCCTTGCTTATTATACTGCAATGCATTGAAACTCGTTTACTCCCATCAAACCTATCCAGGGGTGAGAGCGCTCAGTAAAAAAAAAATTAAAAATTGTTTTGTTTTTCCCCCCCTCAACCACGCCCCTTTGAGTAAAAAAAAAAGAAGAGGATTGGGGGGGGGGGGGTGGGGGAATGGCAGCTTATAACATTCTCCCCCTTTGAGTAACATTAAGAAAAAATAGGAAATAGAAAAAATCAGGGAAAAATCAGGAAAATCAGGATAAAATCGGGGAGAAGAAACAAAAGAAAAAAAATCAGATAAAAAAGAAGGGGAAAAAACAAGGAAAAAAAAATTGGAGAAAAAAAAAAAAATCTTGAAACCGATATAAATCAGGTAATTATCAGGCCTGAACCCAGTGGCGGATCCAGGGGGGGGGGGGGGGCCCGGGCCACCCCCCTTGAGAAAAAAATCATGTAAAATCACGTGATTTTTACCTTTTTGGGGGGTTGGGCCCCCCCCCCCCCCCCCCGGCGCTCAAGGGGGGGGGGGGGGTGCAAATTGAAATTTTTCGAGGACCAAAAAAAAAAAAGTGCCCCCCCCCCCCCCCCACTGAGCGACTTTTTGGCCGGCGCGATTTTCAAATTTTCGGGAGCAAACAAAAATGAAGAATGTTGGGCCCCCTCCCCTAACAAATCCTGGATCCGCGCCTGCCTGAACCTACCTGAACTGACTGAGAAGATGTCCTGTATAGGGGTCCCACAGGATGACCCTGGTGTCATAGGATGCGGTTGCTAGAACAGCTCCATCTGCAGAGAACTCACAGGATGTCACCATGTTGTGGTGGCCCTGCAGCTTTCTCAGAAGCTTGTACCGAGTGAAGTCCCACACAATCACCTGAACACAGATGAGAAGATGAAGTGGATTTGATTCAGTTAAGCCCTGAAGATTCAACACTCAAACTTGACTAGCTTACGATGAAATTCAGAAAGGGTTAAAAGATATGCATAGCTTGACACCTTTGTGTGAAAGATGTAAGTCTTGTTTTAGTAATTATTTACTCAGGGTTGATGAAAGGAAAGTTTTTTAATTTCTTTTTAGTTTGTAATTTTGTTAGTGTTGTTGTAGATTTTTGTAGAAGCCAGAAAAGTGTACAAGTAGGCACAATAAAATACTCTCTTTATATAGGGAATTATTTTAAATATTAAATTTGAAGCAACACACACTGTTTTTTCCACTTCTGCACCTCAAATTGACATGTTTACCAGTATAACAGAGGTAAAGTGTTAAGCAATGATAATAATTGCTTTTATGTGCTCATTCCAGAGGATGCAAAGGGCTGAATACTACCAGTATCCTTGCTTCAGTCGGTCTACCCTTGATAAGGCGCGCTTAGGCATTCAAGAAATTTCCTCTTTTCAGATACCCATTTCTATCATCTGGGTGAGAAAAAATTAAAATGCCACGACAGAGATTTCAACAGCTCACCATGTTGTCCATAGTCCTATGACTTACAATGTATCCACTAGACTATGACATCTCCTCGTAGAGGTGTCATGGTCGAGTGGATATGTCACCTGACTGTCGATCTTAAGGTCCGCGGTTAGAGTCCAGCCACGGCACTAATGTCCTTTGGCAAGACATTGATCAACATTTGCCACACTCAACCCAGGTGATGTAAATTGGTACTTGGCAGAAATTAAGTCCTTGAAATGCTAGAGCACCGCAGTGGCTGCCTTGCTAAAGCCAGGGTAGTAATCGGGGCAGCGCCAGGAGCATCACAATGTGACGGACATGTGCGCTATATAAGAAGCCACCATTATTATTATTCATCTGGGTGAGAAAGGATGTAAGTGCCATGAGATTTCAACAGCTCACCCTGTTGTCCATAGTCTGATGATATATCCACTGGACTATGACACCTCCTCAAAATCCCATTGCATTTCATTTCATTTCATTTCACCATGCACTTACCGATCTCTGTTCGCCTACGGAAGCCAGCATGGAGCTATCAGGGGAGATAGCGCAGCCGTAGACAGCCTTGGGATGTCCCTTGAGGGTCACCACCATGTTGCCATCGTCCTTCATGTCCCAGACCTTGAGGGTGCTGTCATGGCTTGCAGACACCAGGAACAGGCTGCCGTCAGGGTTGAACTTGATGTCCCGGACAACGCTCTTGTGGTCTACCAGGAGCACATGTTCCCCTGAAAGGTTTAAGGAAAAGTGAGCGTGAATATCGGAATGACAGCAAGGCAATCCAGAGCTGTGGACCTTCTGTACAATAAATAATGGCTTCTCTTCCATCATAAAACAAACATGTACAAGGGTCTGGTTCATACTCCCAGACCAACAAAAATTCCAGTTTAGACAGGGGCCAACATATCTTAAAGGCATTGTTTAACAATTTTTCCAGTTTTACATTCTGAGATGCACGACCCTGCGTATTATCAGTGTCTGTGATAAGGTGTAATATTGAAGCCCTTAAAAATGATCATGAAGTGCCTCCAAAAAGTAAAAATATTTGAGTGACCGGTTTTACCATACTCATTTCCCCCAATAGACCTTAGTGTTATAAAAACAGTTAGGGCAAACAGTTTTTGAAATTCTGAATTCCAATCATAAATATCTTGATAATCAGAGAGGCAAATCGGCTTGTGAAAGTCATGGGATTCCTGACTGACCTAAAGGTTTATAATGATTGCTGCATGAGCTAAATCCAGGATCTTGTTTAGAATCTGAGACAATTAAAGATACCCAATCCCTTTAAGATACCCATCAGTACCTTAATCTGGTCCCCCTCCCCCCTTTAAAGTAAACAAGAAGTTAGTGTGAAGCCCTGACTAATAACATTCTCAACGTTCAAATCAGCTTTACTCAACTTACATACTATTAGGGTACATACCCTGAAAACTCATTAGGGCCACTTACAATGTACATATACCGGTATTGTATTGGTGCTCCAAAAATGTTGTGCAAAATACAGAGTCCAAAAAGCATTAAACACATCAGAGTCAAAATTAGGTGGCAATAGGCAATATCCTGAAAACGGGCATGCCTCAATATTTCTTATCTCAGGGAAACAGGTGATTTTTTTTCTAAAATAATCTCATAGTTTGGAAGATTGCCATTTCCGATGTTTGTGTGATTTCACTCTAAGGGCACCAAACAATGTGTAATTGTGTATTGTCACAATAACACAATCACAAAATCTTTGTTAATTCTTTTTTATTTCTTTTGTCCAGCACTCCAGCCTATACAAATTGTGTTCTTCATAATAACATCCAGGGAGTTTGAAGAAAGAGCAAATTGTCTTGTAACACTGCCTAATGTAATGTACTGTATGAGACAACCACCCTATCAGTTGAAGTACAGAACACACCTGTAAAAACAAAAATTTGTATGTTTATGTCTGTACAAACTTCTATTTTCATACAGGTAATTCAAAGGAATTGGTTTGAATGAGTAATTAAACGCTAACAGTGTAAATATGTCCATGTTTAACAATGTACCAGGCACAAAGGCACTTCCTAAAGACCTCGTTATTCTTCACTGTTTGCTCACACTATGAAAATGGCTGACAAAGAAAGCAGACAAAATATACAGTTCCTCAGGTAGACAAAGGAACATCCCTTCACTGCTATTATGTAAAAAGTGAATATGCATGTGACACCTGTTCTACACATTTTTACATAATAGCAGTGAAGGGATGTTCCTTTGTCTACCTGCGGAACTGTATATTTTGTACGCTTTCTTTGTCAGTCATGTTCATAGTGTCATGTTAAGCTTGTGTGCATAACGAATTCATTAAACAGTCTCGTCACTCTAGATCTACATGTATATCCTCAAAATAATGAAAATACAATCTCACCACCTGAGGGATTGAGGGAATTTAGCTAATTCTTAGATTTGGAAGAAATCAAGGTCTATAAAGTACCGAAGTGTGACGTCATACTAGCCAAGTTGTCAAGGATGCTGGTTCGAAACAATTTTGAGCTAAACAATAATATTGTGATCACACCAGCCCGGCAGCCCCAAACACTGAATTCGCCCTGCTCCAGCTCATTGCTTGAATGATTTGGTTTAGAAGCATGGAGTAACCTGGACGACGAGCGAATGTGACGTGCGCACTTCGGTACTCTATTTCATTTATATGAACTATTCACAGCCCTGCCATCATTGAAAGCAGGGTTGTACGATGCACAGATTGCAATTTGTCATTGTTGGTCTGATGTTTCACAGCTACTAAATTTGTGGAATGTTTATTATGCTTGTATCAATATGCTGTATACCTTTTTAATCTTGCCTCCCTATTATTGTGATTTGTTAATGATTAGCAGTTTTTTGCAAGTCACCAGTTTATGTTCACTGGACTGCAGCAGCTGACCTATTTACTGACTTCATATATGTAACCAGGAGATCCCTGATGTAACGGTACAGTACACTGTGCATATTAATGTACATGTTACTAGCTTAATTGCTAAATAATCTATGCTGTGTCTGGAATTGGAATACCATACAATTCAAGGTCGATTGGCACCTATGCATGCAGTGAGCTCATCAGACAAGCATTTATTTTAACTACATGAGCATGTGTATTAACAACGTGAGGCACATAAGGATGCCTGATATTTGTTACATCATAATACATCTCCCCATTGCTGATCATTTTATCCTCTTCATAGTCAAACATGTACCTTTGTCTGCTCCAGAAATCTTATTTCATGTAGCAATAGCATTAATCTCCTCTTGTAATTTAACCATATCATATAATTTCTTGCATTAAAAAAATATAATAATTATAGAAGGACAACTTGCCAATTAAGCCCAGATTGCACAATTCAACAACACTGACTACCCTAGGGAAATTAAATACCAGTAACCATGAGATATTTACATGTATATGTACAGTAGATATACATGTAAATAGGACAAGGGTGTGGTTGACTGATCAATTCATGCTGGTATCATCGCACTGACATTTATGTAAATGCACAGCTGTACATGTACATGTACATGTACATTCTAAAATACATGTATCTTGAAAGTAGATTTAATAAAACTCCTTTTCAGTTCCCTGTATAGAGTCATTTTAACAGAAATGTGAACAAATTAGTACAGATTCAGCATAATAGCTAAATAAAAGGGGGGATGTTGCCTTGTAAACTTTAAAGGAAAACGTTTTCATGCCCTTTTACTGATGTTAAAGATAAACTCCAGTTCTGGTAATGCGATTGCATTGTGAAAGAAAAGGTGTGGAATGGATCAGAAACAGTTGATCATGTAGCATGTAAGTATTGGTGTGCACTGCAAGGTTCTGGAGTCATCAAAATCATAATAAATTTGGCCGAGTCTTGGTAAAGTAACAAGCACTGTACACATAAAGCTATATATATGGGCCAACACACACCTTGATTTCCTAATATTTCTATGCCATTACTCAGCCATTATACATTTTCTTCCAAAATTGTTTGGCACATGTCATTTATTTGTAATCTTGTACATGTATAGGCCCGAATTCACAAAGCAAGGTTTGAGCTCAGACCAAGGTTTGAGCTCAAACCTCCTTTTGTTCTTTACAAACCAGGTTTGTAAAAAACGCGTAAAACGCGTCATATGACGTACGCAAACCAAGGTTCGTCGACAAACCTCCTTTGTGAATTTGGGCCTCAGTGTAAGTTTTGTTTGATTCTGTGAGAATTATTATTTTTTTTTTTTTACCAGAACTGGAATTTATCTTTAATTGAGAGCTGATTTGATGAGACCAACTGCCAGGGACCTTGCAAGGAGGTCTGATCCCTCCTGGTCAAACTAGTGCAGAGGGGCTTAATATTGATTTTATACAAAATTCTTCTTCTGAGAGACAGCAGTGTGACCTACCGCTGTTGACGTTGTAGGTCTTGATCTTGCCGTTCTTGAGCCCGATGGCCAATATGACGGCATTGTTCAGCACCTCCGGGAAGCCGAACAGACGGTATGAAACACTGCATCGCTGGGACTTCTTATCAGGTACAGAGGTACCAAACGTTAGCGACCTGACCAGGTCTTTACATGGTATAGTGATGATGTTCCTTCGGCTGGTGGCATTGTTCACTGTAGGATCATCGGCGTTGTTATTCTGGTCGTTGTCTCGGTCGTTATAGCTGAAGAAGAGAAAGTACATGCAATTGGTTGGATAGACTTTTGAAGCAACAGAATGATCTAATGCATAGGTAGTGTTTCACAGATACAGTTGTGTGCATAGTTATGAAGGAAGTAAGAGGCAATCTCAATTTGAAGATTGGGATCTAAAAAAACAGTGCATGGTAATGTACACCTGTATATCTGTATTAAAGAAGCTTTGCTACAGTTGCTCTATATTTGCATGTCAATAGGGAACTGATCTAGTTTTAGTATCGGAAATTTTAAAAAAGAATGCCGAATTAGTGTTATATAATTCAAGATGTACAAGAAGCCTCGTACTAATAACATAATATGAGACAACAAGGAGAAAACAATTTCCATCTGATGACAATTGTATTCAGCTCTTGAAACTTGTTTCACTCTCTTAAATACATGTACACTCACAGATATTTTTAAGTACTTCACTTTAAAGGGACTATGTCCCATTTGCAGGCCAAAAAAATGAAAAAGTTAAATTCCAAATGCATTTGAAAGATAATACTAATTTAGAACTTCCCTAAAAAAGGTGGGGCTTGAAAATGCCTTCAAGTGGGGAAATAACGACTATTAGTTGTCAAATCGACTTTAGGGCTATAGAGCCCAAAAGCAATAGTCTTGATTTTCAGACTATTGTACCGAATGGTCATACGTCTTATGCTGCGCAAAGTTTCAATCAGTTTAATCTTGGCCATCACAAGAAGTGGGTTATTGATGTAGACAAATACTCATGTACCCTTTACAACTCTTTTCATGTATGTTATTACCAAAGAAGAAAAAAGGCCAGTCAGTCACTCAATAGTGTCTGACAGTGAAGTCTAGCAAGCAAACGGTTTTCCTTGCATAATTTGAATATGAGGACACTGCTAATGTTTAAATTTCACAGATAGGACATACATGACATATTCATAATTCCTGCAAAGTTCTACAGCATTTGAGGTTGGCTGCAAAAGGGACATAGTACCTTTAATGTACAAAATTGTACAAATGGTGTATGTAAAAACAAGAGATTATCAAAAGAAGCCTCTATGGTTAGTTTCAGTTTCTATTATCCCTCTCAAAAACATAAATATCAACATGAGTACTGTCAAAACTTCCTACTCACATGTTCTGCTTTTCTTTGTCCCATGGAATGAGTTTGACGATACGATTGCCGCAAGACCAGGCAAAGTAGGATTGATCGGGTGCGAAGGCTACGGACCACGTCTCTGGAGCGGACCTAGTGGTATGGAACGAAGGTAGGACTTCACGCTGCTGGACCGGGATCTCAAGCTCAGTGATCACAGAGGCCTTGGCTGCATGTACAAAAGAGAGCAAGCAAATAACATGGTTATTCCTGGTGTCTTTATCATCAATTATATACATGTACATGTAGCATCCATCTTTCCCATGCCATGGGGATGAATCAAATGTTTCATTTTCCTTATGGCCCTCTCCAAGCCTTCCAGTCTTTAGCATCCGCTTCGATGAGGCCACATGCTTGTACAGTACATGTATGTCCTTTTCTTGCGTCTCCTTCCGGGTCTTACAAGGTCTGCCAGGGGGGTTTTGAACAGGCAACCTGGAGGTTCATTGCTTTCTGAAGCCAAAGCTTTCCTCTCTTTTAACCACATAACCATATCTCCTGCTATTCCTGTCAGTCCTAAGGATTGGAGGAGATCTACATTTTTCTTCCTGTCCATTTACCTTAATAAAATATAACGTCTTTCGTACTAAAAAGTTTCAACCTTCAAATATCAAGTTATTCTTTGTGGGATAAAAAGGACACTGATTTGTTTAGAATGTCTCTGATTTTCTAGCTAGCAGCCTCCTTCCTCAAATAAAATAGCTCTAAAGCTGCATGTTACAGTATGTACATGTACAATGTATGTATAAAGACAATAGTGATTGAACTGTAAGCGACTGCAATTTATGAAAGAAACAGTAAATAATTTAATGCGACATATTTATCTACACCAGGCCTTCTCAACTAGTTTATTAGAAGCGCCAAAATAAAAATTTATTGAGGTTGAAGTGCCAACCTGTATGTTTGGTGACTGTGTTGCGAGGGAGCGTAGCGACCGAGCCGATACCGGGTGGGGTCCAGGGGCGACGCCCCCGGAAGCTAGTGGATTTTAGGACTTTTTTAAGGCCCAGATGTGGCATTTTAACACCTTTTTGTTCCATAAAACATCAATCATAATTTCATATTGATGTGAAATAATTAGTACAGTTCCTGGCTAAAATCTACACTGGAAGTTAATTTACATGTAGTTATTTTGGTGCAATAAACACGGAAAATGTCAAAATGAAGTGAAAATCAAACAAACAAAATGGCTTGCTTACATTTTGGGCTCAACTTAGACTGCGACTTTTTGATTTTGCTGAGTTTTTTTTATTTTAAAATATAATTTTTTGATTTTTTTTCTTTCTTAAATTTTATTTAAAATTTTTTATTTATTTTTTAATTATTTTTTTGGAACAGCCGCGCGCCACTCTGACTAACCGCAAGCGCCACGAGTGGCGCGCGCGCCGCCAGTTGAGAAGGCCTGATCTACACCATGGGTGGTATTCTGAACATTGTTGTAAGTTTTGTGTTATCTTTTGTTGTATCTTCCAGAGATAACACAGCGCTAATATTGTTGTAAGTTGGTATTCTGAACATTGTTTTATCCCTGTGTTATCTCTTGAAGGACCGCCTCTATCTTATCTTTGACCATTGATGACACGCCCATTTTTATGGACCCTACCAATCAAAATCTGTTTTATATAAGCATGATAAGTAGATCAACCAATAGGAATACTTTATGCCATATCTGAAGATGCGCCTAGCGCATACTAATCTTGGGCGTAATTAGTTATTTGAGCACTTATTGCGCGCGTCATCATTATGCGCTGTTGAATGTGGATCATGAAGACAAATCACGCTATCACTATATTGGTTAAGATGAGAGCATTAAAATAGTCCTATCCTAGCATGTAATATCTTAGAAAGTTCTCATCTGTGATGTTTCCGGTCAACACACAATCTTCTTCTAACTCGTCTATTGGCACGAAGTTGGTTCTGGGCAAAAAATATTGCCGCCATTATATCACCACGAAAGATACAACAACCCCTACCTGTTGTAAATATTGTTGTAAATACCATGCGAGATAAGATAAGATAAAAGATACAACAACTTTCAGAATACCAATTATCTCGACATATTATCTCCCGTGCGCATATGCAAATGAGAATTAAATGCCACTTTATTAATAATACGCACAATTACAAGCGCACCAAAGTATGAGCGCAGGCGCGGCCAATAAGATGAGAGAAAAGATACAACAAAAGATAACACAAAAGTTACAACAATGTTCAGAATACCAACTTTATCTTATCTTCAAAGATACAACAATATTAGAGATAACACAGGGTTCAGAATACCGCCCCATGTATCCAAGTATAATAATTGTTTAAGTTGTTGTATACTAGTGTGATAACTTAATACATCTCAGTTGATGCTACAGGTATGTTGCATTGTTGGACAATCTTATGCAAAGTTTTTAGGTCATCACTATCATAAATGTACAGGTGTATAACATTTTGAATAAATTTGTGAACTGGGGCCCGTTGCATAAAACTTACCATTGGTAACTTTGCCATCAATGGCAACTACCATGGTAACAGGGCTCAACAGCCAATCAAAATCAAGGTTTCCATGGTAGTTACATGTACCATTGATGGCAAAGTTACCATCAACGGTAAGTTTTATGCAACGCCCTGCTGGTCTATTGGAGGCTACAGCCCTAAAGTCCAGTCAAACAAAGTTAGGTTTGCACTAGTTACAGACATGTATGGGTTTCTTATCATTTATCATTTAGAGGCCATGTGAACCAATCAGCTTGTACAGACTGACTTTACACTGTAATCTGAAACTGCTTATACATGTAGGTCATCCTGTGTCTGAGTGCTTCTGCACACTCAACTAAAATCAAGCCATTGGAAACATGCTGGCCTGCACGTCCGTTGACCAAGTGTGCAATACCGGTACACAGTATTATATACAGTAGGTTATATACTGTACACTGTACCAGCCATAATTATCTGTGTTTATATTGTACATATACTGTACATAACATGACTACAAATTTTGATAAAGGTTTTTTTTTCTTCATCTGGTTGTCCAGAGTCTTTCTTCCCTGAAGATCCTGAAATTAACCAATGATTGGCTACAAAACAAAAAAAAAACAAAAAACAAAAAACACATACACCTAGCATGAACATGAGATAGCATGAGCAGTCTTGGTTTAATACTTGCGAGAAGAAAATAAAATGCTGCTTGCCTTTAATGGAGATACATGTAGGCCTACAAAATACAATGTAAAGTGTGTGAAAGTGTATGCAAGGAAAAATACATGTAGCGCAATGGTACTGCAACAAATACTTGAAATACTGGTACCTGTACATGTACCCTTCAATATGTGCAAATCAATAATAACACTGCCTATAGCTTTAAATAAAGAAGATAGTCTCACACACTTTTTTTTTTTAAAGAAAAAAAAAGAAGAAAAACACTGCTAAAATGGATCTATTTCTGATTTAAAAAAAAAAAAAAAAAATGCCGGCGGCCATCTTGAAAAATAGCCCAACTGTCAGAGCGGCCATTTTGAGCGGCCATTTTGAAAGAAAAAAAAAAGAAAAAAAAGAAAAATAAGGGCTTTCTCCTTCCTATTTTTCAAAAAACAGGACGCTAAACATGTTTTTTGTTTTATTTGGCCTAATGTGTCTACTTTATTACAAGCAATACTGTACATGTACATGTACTTTACATGAATATGGTACAATCTTGGCATTATCAGAAGCAATGGAATGAAATGGACATTATATCTATTATCTACTTCATTCTCCAATCTCCTGTGTGATTTCACATGCATACCTATGTTCCAAGCCAATCGGCCAGAACCAGGGTCTGAAATTGAAGACTACCATATTACATGTACATCAATGGAGAAACCAGATTAGATAACACAGCACACACACACCTTAAAAATCAACCAATGGGTGAAGAGTATTTGCTCCCACCTCCTTTTCTACAATACTCATTCCATTGACGGAAGAATGGAGTCTTTCCAAAGGGAACAATCCTCTACGAAGCTAAGGTACAGTGTACAGTCATGTACACACACTCACTCGGTCACTTACTTTCACATGCATTGACAATTGTATTTACAGCAAAGAAATACTTGGTTTAAGCATTTACTATATGGCATAATATACATGTAAATTGTGTATGTGTGTACATGTAGGGGTCTACTTGAACAGTGTACAATCAGGGACTTGGGATCCCTGGTACAATGTACAGTATATTTTTAATTAAACCTTTTATTTTTAATGAAGAAATATTGAAATTTGTTTGTACAGATACATGTACATACATGTATACGTATGTACGTATGGAAAAGGAAACTCATCATCTGTAAATATACAAACTCACAAAGAACATGTACTTGTAGAGTACTGTACACTGTCTGTATCTAAATTTTATATTGACTTATAATTACAGACCAGATTGGAAAGGGTTCATATCTATCATCATATCACATTAGAGTTTTATATATACCCCTCCCCTCCAAAATGTACACCGCTATACTCTCATATGTACATGGCCAAATCAGCAATACCTTTCTACTAGGCTAGTCTCTACATGTAAATGAACCTTAAAATACTTCAGTTATACTCTTGATAACACGGAATGTCGAGTCACATGTACACGTACTACCCACATCCATTGTTGTTGTTTTTGTTGTAATGGCAATCAGTCAAGAACTAACTACATGGATTATCACCAACGCCTTTCTTTTTAATATTAATTTCTTTCTTTCTCTTTTTTCTCTCTTTGGTGTCAATGGGTTGTGTCTGACAGTGTGTCAGGGCAGGTTGAATTAATTGCAACTGGAATAAACTCTGCGCATTTAAACAAACTTTGCGCTTCATCACACTTTGTGAATGCAGGTCAATATTTTGAAAGTTTTATGTCATTTCAAAATTCTGGGACAAGTAATGTACCGTAGTTTACATGTAGATCATTATTTAGACTACAGTATCACAATGTTCTTCCTGACCTTGCGTAAATATTCTCAAGTGCGTAGAACATTCAAGATGGATACATGTGCAGTAAACAACACCTCCTCTTAGTCTTAGTCTTGCCACTCACTATTATTTTCATTCCTCCTCCTTCCTCTTTTTTCTTCTTCTCCCATTCCGTCCTCTTCTCCTCCCCCTTTCTTTTCCTTTTCTTCATGCTTCTTCTCCTTCTTCTCCATCAAAAGATATTAATAATAATAATCCTCCATAAACAGACAATGTTTTTTTTCTGATGTCCAATCCATTCATTGCCAGTTTTAACACTGTTTTATTTAAGGACTATAAAGTTAGATCTAGACCTAGTCCTAGACCAGAATTTAGAGCTCGATCACAATCCCATCCGTTGCAAAGGATGGGATCAAGCTCTGTAATTCGGCATTAGGCCTACACTACAGGTAGGTTAATCAAAACCATCCCTACTCCTAGAGTCCAAGCTAGCATTGCCTAGAAATTAGAATCCTACTCTTTTCTTCATCTCAAATTTCAAAAGAAATAAATTCTCAAGAAATTAAAAATAAATGCAACAACTTACGGAATACGGGCTAACTTACCAATATCTTCCAAAGAAGTGTTCTGGAAAGTACCCATTCCAATATCAGACGGGAATCTTGAATCCTCACGCGAATTAAATCAAGCAAAATTACCGGCTAAATGGCAAAATGCAACAAAATGACAAGCCAGTGCACTGCCTCAGCTCAGATCAGCTCAGCTCAGTCTCAGATCAAACGGTTAAGCGGTTGGCATGCACAAAATGCAGGTGCATGTCCTCGCTGTCCACGTCCACGCAGCCTCAGCGATGTGTTGTTGTTGTTGGTCGGTTGTTTCGAATTTCGATAGATCTAGATCAACGATGGGCCAGGAAGAAAACAAATGGCAAAAGAGAAGGCCCAACAATAGGGCACTAAATCAACTTGAATCAAATGTTACCACCACGTCGAAAATTCCGCTGTATATTCTGAATTGATCAACAGGACAGCAAAATATGCCGACTTTTATCGAACACAATCGCACGTTTCGCGTACTATATGCATGCATATTTGTGTAGTACGTAGTATTTGCACGATGCGCATGCGCGGCGACGTTGTACACTAAACTCGTATTTTCCAGTTACGTATGTGGAACCATGGACCTACTGTACTAGACATGGTGCATGCAAATGTCAACAAAGAGCAAAAGCTTCTGCGGCTGATGCAACAGATACAGACTATTCCCATTTTTGGTTTTATATTTTGTAGTGTATGCTAACAGTCCTCTTATAAAAATGTTTCGTACTAAGACATTTCAACATTCAAATATCCTGTTATTCTTTGTGGAAACCAAAACACCAAAACTATCAATATAAGTTGGATGCTTGTGTTATAACTTTTTTCGGGGGAAAGTTGGAAATTATTATCAACATAAAGAAAACAATAATTAGCGGTAGTAGAGGTCAGTGCACGGGGCAGTGAGGCAATGACGTACCAGACTCACGAATGAGTTGCCAATTTGTCTTGTGATTTACAAAGTTTTCCATTTCATTAAAAAAATCTTTCTTAATAGGTTAGCTGATATTGCTCAAACTCCGTTTTATTGGTTTGTGAATTGATTTTTCTGATTCTATATTGAAAGTATATTTGGAGTGAACTTTCTTAATAGTAGGCCTAAATAGTTTAGCCGATATTGCTCAAACTCTGTTTTATAGGTTTGTGAATTGATTTTTCTGCTTCTATTGAAAGTGGTAGTTATATTTGGAGTGGACTTTAATGAACATGTCGTACTTACAAACAGCCTTTAATTTTTTGTTTTACATGATACGTAAGCCTACCCTTTAAACATGTGCTTACTGCCTAACATAATTATATATGTATATATGCAGTCAAATATTTCAACACTATATACTCTTCACCTATATCTTGCCATTATGTTGTATATGCATGCCATACACTCCATTGATACTATGTTGCAGTCCTCTTCTTTTCCTCTCTTCTTTTCTCTTTCTCCAAGCTCTCTATACTCCTCTCCTCTTTGCCTATCCCTTTCTGCAGTCTTCCTTTTCTCCCATTCATAATGTATAATTGTATTTATGTATTCGGGCGTACCCACTACAAGCTATGCTTTTCGGGTTTCGCGCCTTCTTCCTTGTAATACAAGTTCTTTAATTATATTTATGTTCCTACTTATAAATTGTATTGTTTGGAAGAAAAATAAATGTTCATTTGTATTGAAAAAAAATAATCCCTTTTATTAATGATGATGATGATGATGATGATGATGATGTTAATGACGATGTTAATGACGATGTTAATGTTGATGATGATGATGATGATAATGACGATGTTAATGATGATGATGATGATGATGATGATGTTAATGACGATGTTAATGACGATGTTAATGACGATGTTAATGTTGATGATGATGATGATGATAATGACGATGTTAAATGACGATGCTGATGATGATGATGATGATAATGACGATGTTAATGATTATGATGATGATGATGATGATGATAATGACGATGTTAATGATGATGATGATGTCAATGACGATGTTATTGACGGTGTTAATGTTGATGATGATTATGATGATGATGATGATGATGATGTTAATGATGATGATGATGATGTTAATGATGATGATGATGATGTTTAATGATGATGACGATGTTAATGATGTAGATGATGATGAAGATGATGATGATGATGTTAATGACGGTGTTAATGTTGATGATGATGACGATGTTAATGATGTAGATGTTGGTGATGATGATGATGTTAATGACGATGTTAATGACGATTTTAATGTTGATGATGATGACGATGTTAATTGACGATATGTTGGTGATGATGATGATAATGACGATGATAATGTTGATGATGATGATAATGACGATGTTGATATGATGATGATGATGACGATGTTAATGATGATGTTAATGTTGATGATGATGACGATGTTAATGATGATGTTAACGACGGTGTTAATGTTGATGATGATGACGATGTTAATGATGTAGATGTTGGTGATGATGATGATGATGTTAATGACGATGTTAATGACGATTTTAATGTTGATGATGATGACGATGTTAATTGACGATATGTTGGTGATGATGATGATGATAATGACGATGTTGATGATGATGATGTTGATAATGATGATGATGATGATAATGACGATGTTGATGACGATGTTGGTGATGTTGGGTAGCCACTTCAGTTATGAAACTGTTCTTCCAGCGGGCCCTGCATAACATAATGTTATTACTACCCTTCTCCAATCTAGTATGCTGAGCGCCTAGCTAGAAGGCAGAAGGTCCCATTGGTATGACTCGGCCGGGGTTCGAACCCACGACCTCCCGTTCATGAGGCGGGCGCTCTAACCACTGAGCCACCATGATGATGTTAATGACGATGTTAATTATGATGATGATGATGATGTTAATGACGGTGTTAATGATAATGACGATGTTAATGATGATGATGATGATGATGTTAATGACGATGTTAAAGACGATTTTAATGTTGATGATGATGATGATGATGATGATAATGACGATGTTGATGACGATGTACGTGATGATGATGATGATGATGATGTTAATGACGATGTTAATGATGTAGATGTTGGTGATGATGATGATGATGATGATGTTAATGACGATGTTAATGATGTTGATGATGATGATGATGATGATGATGATGATGTTAATGACGATGTTAATGACGATGTTAATGTTGATGATGATGATGATAATGACGATGTTGATGACGATGTTGATTATGATGATGATGATGATGATAATGACGATGTTAATGATGATGATGATGATGATGATGTTAATGATGATGATGATGATGATGATGTTAATGATGTAGATGTTAATGATGATGATGATGATGATGATGTAATTAATGACGGTGTTATTGACGGTGTTAATGTTAATGATGATGTTGATGATGATGATGATAATGACGATGTTGATGACGATGATGATGATGATGTTAATGATGATGATGATGATGATGTTAATGATGATGTTAATGATGATGATGATGATGATGATGTCAATGACAATGTTATTGACGGTGTTAATGTTAATGATGATGATGATGATGATGATAATGACGATGTTGATGACGATGATGATGATGATGATGATGGTGATGATGATGATGATGATGATGGTAAACATGAAATCCTACAAGTTGTCAGTGACACGAAAATTGTATCTTAATCATGATTAATTAGGGAAGACAGGAACATATAATTTTGCTAGCTATAATTATCATACATTCAAAATGTATTTTAAAAAAATTATTCTTCTCTATTCCAAATTTAAATAAATGCTTGATAACACACGTTTACATTTATTAGCACACACATTTATACACCATGATATATTTCGGCATATTTTGTTATTATTAAAAGTAGGAAATATAAGGAAAATATTAATTGTTGCATCAATGCAAACCACACTAAAATTCTCAACTCTTTCTCAGCAGTGTGATGTAAATATCCTCTCTCCTGTCATGCAATAAGTCTAGCGCCATCATCGTCATGAAACTTTATATTTCCAACGAGTCCGCGTCGAGGAGTAGTCTGCAGCCACAGACTGTACTTTGACACTTACCATTCTTCATGAGCAGAATCTAGCTTGATCTCAGTGTCCGTCTCTGGCTGCCTATGCCCAGGGGTCTCATAGAAATACTGTCAGCATGCGTGACCACAGGTTTTCCAGACACCCCCTAAACGAGGATTTCTTCTGAAGCCAACATACACCCTAAATGGGGATTTCGCGTGGTTTTTTTCCACAAAAGTAGTGAACTCCTAAACAAATATTTTAAAATAGTAACCCCTCGGTCATTTGAAGTGCGATATGGATTACCATTTCAGTTGTTGACAATGTAAAATAAATCAAAAGTTGCGCTTCGGATGTTAAATGCACAATGTAAACAAATTATTTCAATGGAGAAGCAATACTAATTATAAACACTTCCAAATGGGGTTTAATATGCACAGCCAGCATAGGTCATTTCTTTGCAAAAAGGAATTATATTTCAAATTTGATCTATTTTATAGACAGTACATGTAGTGGATACAAAAGAACACAACATTACAATGATCAATTTCAATTCTAGAAGGTAAACCCATAACATTGATGATGAAGTAAATCTGGAAGTCATGGAAATCATAGAAATAGGGGGAGGGGGGGGGGGGGGGGGGAGCTTTGGGAATTTAGCTGACCCGGAAGCTGACACATCTTTATCGCTGTACACGACGTCATCAGATGCAGCCAGAGTGACAGAAACTTGACCATATTGACCATACTGGCCATATTGATTATTGTTGTCGTAAATAAGCATGCCACATAATGCTGGTACGCGAAGCATATTATGGGCTTTAGTGGGGGCTGTCGGGTTTATTTTGGTGCAGATTCTTCTAAAAGCACCAAATTTGGCCCAGAGGTAGATTATACCATACTATTACGATTTCTGCCGGACGCCAAGAAGGGCGCTCTCTGGGACTGCCATATCGGGCAAATCCAAAATGGCCGCCATCTGAGTTAAAGGCCAAGCGTAAATTCCAAAAGGAAAAGCGCTTGTATGATAATAGTTTATATATTTATAGGGTTTTGGGGGTCAGAGAATCTGATTATAATGTTCTTTCATTGATTTGAGGTCTCCTTGGGGCTGCCATACTGGTCGTATTGGTCAAATCCAAAATGGCCGCCATCTGATAGTTACAGGTCATGTGTAGTTTCGAAAGGAAATGGGCTAGTATGATAAAAGTTTGTATATTGATCGGAATTGGTTCTTTATAATAAACTTTACTTGGAATCTGGTCATCGGTAAATATTATCGGCATTATCGTGATCCAAGTCCCCAGGGACTCGGATCCACGGACACTTTTTACTCTGAAAAAACATTTCCTAACTTCCAAAATTGTATCCACCAAAGCGCCCGTTTAATGGATTATTACTTTATTTAGTCAAGCCAATTTATCTAGTAGGCTTATTAAAGTCATTCACTATTTAAAATAAAGCAAACAATAATTTAATTTATTTAGTCAA